ATATATATATATATATATATATATATATATATATATATATTTAAGCGTGTTGTCAGGCCAACTCAACCATAAGCCGGTTAAGGTTGTCACCTAAAGCCTTTAATAGGAGAAGATGCCCTATGTCTCATTACATTAACTATATATTTTTGAATAAATTAATTATGCTTTGTGTATTATATTAATTACCAAATAAATACAAATGCTCTTTTATTGGTCAAAATATGACAGTTGAAGAGGGCAACTGATATGGAATTTGAATAAGCAACACCAAATAACCTTCCCAATTTAGTTTTCACAATATATATATATATATATACATATATATATATATATATATTTATAACTACTTAAAAAAGTTTAAAGAGATTTGGTTTTTTGTATATAATTTGATTTTTTAAATCTAAATATAAATAGGGTGACTCAACTATAAGGTGATCGCCTAAGGCCACCAATAGGAGAAGCGACCTATATCTCATTACATTTGTTAAACATCTCTATTAAGCATGTTGTAAGACAATTAAGGTGGTCCTTTAATAGGAGAAGAGGCCACATTATATTAGTTATATATATTTTTAATGAATTAATTATGCTTCGTGTATTTTATTATTTACCAAATAAATAAAACTGCTTTTTTATTGATCGAAATATGGGATTTGAAGAGGGCAATTGATATGGAATTTGAAGAGGCAACACCTAATAACCTTCCCAATTCAGTTTTTAATATTTTTTCTATAACTGCTTATAAAAGCATGATATTTGATTTTTTATATACATTTTTTACTTTTTATTTAATAGAAATATCAACAGGAGCGGCTCAACTATAAGACAATTAAGGCATCGCCTATGACTCCTAATAGGAGAAGAGGATCATATCTCATTATATTAGTTATATATTTCGTTTAATCATGTTGTCAGGAACAAGTCAACTATAAGACAATTAAGATTGTCGCATAAGGCCTTCAATAGGAGAAGAGGCCACAGGTCTCATTATATTAGTTATGTATTTATTTTAATGAATTAATTATGTGTCATGTATTATATTAATTACCAAAAAATATAGCTACTCATTTATTGGTCAATACACGTTTATTTTATATATATATATATATATATATATATATATATATATATATATATATATATATCGATACAAGTTTCTTCTAGTTTTATCTATTCATTACCTCTCTTTTTTCCCCTCAACAATTTCACACCTTTTGGATTTCTTCTAATTTTTAAATTCTCTTGCATAGCAATACTTGTTAAAAGTTTGTACTTTGTAATTTATGACCCCCTTTTAGGTAGATTTCTAGTACAATTAAATCACTATCTATTAAGTTAAAAAAATGTAAATATTATTATTACTTTTTTTTTAATATTTCCTTGACTTATTGCAAATTAAGTAAAGAGAATAAGTTTCATATAAAAAATATTAGAACTGTATTACTAGAATCAATGTGAGAAAGCCTAATTTAGTGATTTCGCTTTAGGCCTCAAACTGCATCAAGCCGGACCTGAATATGAAAATTGAAGAAGGGGATATGGAATTTGATTAAGCCATACCAAATGACCTTCTCGTTTTTATTTTTAACTATAAAATGGTAAATTACACTAACCTCCCATCTACATTGTGAAAACTTACACAATACTTGTTATTTTCCAAATTACACTAACCTTTCTTTATTAAAGGCTAATTGATTACATTATATTCAACATGTAACAACCCTTACCCTACCCTATATATAATATTGTCCGCTTTCGATCCCTCCAAATCAGAGACTTCCCAGGAGGTCACCGTACTATTCCACAATAAGCACGCTTAACTTTGGAGTTCTGATGAGCTCATGGTTATCACGACTTTAAAACGCATTGTGTCATAGAATGGTGTTGAACCTTATATATAGTACTTCACCTTCCTTATTCGATATGGGATGATGATATCTTGTAGCTTACCAATGTGATAGCTCGTCCAATGTCTTACACCCACCCACATAGGTCGTCACACGACTTATCTTTTCAATTTTCCATATCACAATTCAATGGAGTTAGACAAATAAAGAGAGCATTATCGAGTGCTTGTTAAAGTGCGAACATTGTGGAAGTGGGTAAAAATGTGTCGATGATTGGACGGGTGTTAGAAAATTAAGATGGCCTATTATTCTTTTCATTAAATCTTACATTCATTTATAAATAGGGTTAAGTGCATAAAATATCCCTAAAGTATACCCCGCATATCACTTTTACTCTCTATTTTAAAAAGTGTGCTATTATCTCACTTAATCTTTCAAAAATGTCCAAAAACACTCTTTAGAATTTTAAGGGTTTTGACATAAACTAATTATTTATTGCCTGTTTTGCCCTTTTATCCTTTATATCCTCATAGTAGACGGGTGTTATGTGCACATCAACCATATTTAACCCATTTTTGATGGTTTCTTTTTTATTTTTTATTTTTTTTTCTCTATATATATATTTCCTCTACAACTTTAGTGTTTTTTATCTCTACATTTTCCAAAAATAATATATATTATATGGAGTATAATAAAAGAACAAAAATATAGATAAAATAAAATTTAAAAGATACGTATCTCATATGCATTGTTTCTCACTTTCTTATGCTGAAACATTTTGGATAGATCCTGATTACAAATGTAGACACTAAGATTTTAATGGACTTTTGTTTTGACAAATTGATCCATTAAATATGGGTTTAATGTTTAATTAAATTATTTAATTGGCTGAAGTTTGGTCCCCTTAAATTATTTAATTAGTCTAGCCCAGATGATTAAATGAAAAGATAATTAGTCCTAATAAAATATATTTGAAATAATTATTTTTAAGGATAATTATGATAATGTAACCTGCCCCGCCCAGTTATAATTTTATCCTTATCAGGAGATGACACATGTCATCATCCTATTAATTCAAGAAGCCTATAAATAGAGACCTGGAGGAAGAAGGAAAGTGGTACAAGAATTCAGAAATCCAGAATTCCAGAAAAAAATATAGAAACTCTGTCAATACTCATCCCCAACATTCAAACCCAAAAGTGAAGAACACTAAGCACATCAAATCGTGCCGTTCTTTATCAAATTTCACGGTGACTAACAACAAGCACATCAAATCACGCCGTTCTTCATCTAAATTCTACGGTGATTCAAGATCAAACTCGTGTAGCTCTTGGATCCAACTAACAAAAAGGAGATCGAATCAGAGGACCTTATTCTTTGTAAAGAATATTACAGAGGACTGTACTCCAATTTTCTTAATTTAATAAAATATTATTTTTGCTCCCTATTTTGTTCTTATTTGCAGAATACAAAATTTGTGTGTATAACAAATAAGATTGATTTAACAACATTTTATTTTGATTTGAAGTCTATGTTGATCGATAGTCCATCTCCCTTCACAATCACGTCTATAAGCTCATATTCCCTTGTAAATTTATACTTATATAAATCAAACAACAAATCAAACAAAATATATGCAAATTACATATCATTGTGTGCATCGAACAAAATATACACAAATGACATTTTTTTAAATCATATATAAAATGTCTCAGCAAGGGTAATTTGGGTATATCATGTCAAGTGGGACTTATTTGCACCAAATCAATATTTTGGGGTGTTTTGTGCACATGAAGGGTGTGATAGGCACTGTAAGGATAATAGAAGGTTGTTTTATGCACTTAAACCTTTTCATTTTTGGTCTTTTTTGTCATTTCACAAAATGACCCTTTAAAATAATACATGTAAGATATGTCAGTAACCTTAATTTGAACATATCATGCCAGCTGAGATTTATATGCACGCGAAGGGTATGGAACACACTTAACCTTTATACATACATATTTATGTATGTATTTTTGTGTATGTAGATATAAACTAACCTGCTGGAATGAAACTCTAGCAGAATCTCCAAACCAAAATTGTTGAAGACAAATTATTTTTTAAGCACAACCAAGCAATTGATTAAAGGAAATGGACAAAGGGTAATTTAGCGGTTTCTTTATATTCGAATATGGTCAAAGATGTTACCATTTCATATCAAAAGGAGAGGGTACTAGACTCTATACCATTTAAATTTATTTATTTTTTTGGCTAACATCATACTCCATATTTTGACTAATATAGTCAACAACAACCAAGGGGGAAAGTGAGCGAGAACATAAATATCAGGGAGATCTGAGTATTTTTTTTTCTAAATTGAAGGGTACCATATGTAGGTTTTGCAATTTAATTGGTCACTATAATTTACTCTTTTTTTAAAGAGAAGAAGAGTAAAACACCAAATGACCTTTCACAAAATCAAGAGTAATCTTAGATATGTTTGATTGTGTTTTTGTGCGTGTGGATTGTCCCCGTGATAACTCTTTGTAATCTTTAGTTTTATCTAGTTTATAAAATTGCATTATCACATCAAACAAATTCGAATTTTTATTTGCCAAAGTCGACAAAGGTTGCATGAAAAAGGAACTGTGACAAATTAATTAAAAGTGTTATTAATCTTTTTTTTTATTTATTTTAAAAATACTCTTTCCGTCTCAGGATAAGTGTCAATATATATATATATTTTTTATTTGTCTCAAAATAATAATTCATTTTTTTTTTTCAAACAATATATTTTATATTTTTTTATATATGCTTTTTGAGTTTAAAATTTCAAATTTAAATATTTAAAACTTAAAAAAGTAAGTTAATAATCTTACATGCCTTTTTAAAAATTATTACCCACCATCACCATGTGTCACACTTAAATTGAGATAGAGGAATTATTCATTTAGGTTTTCGAAAAAATAAAATAAAAAGCAAGGGTACAATATTGGGTCCATTCTATTAAAATTGACCAAGTTCTGACGTGGCACTGTACCGTAGGATAACTGAACGGAGGCGATCGAGATTCCCAATACCCCACCTTGACGTTAGCTTCCCGTGAAAGCAACCCGTGCCACGTCGGATAGGTATGTGAGTAAATTAAAAAAATAAAAGCCCTCTCTTCCAATTCCATATCTCTCTGTGCTTGAATCAGAGTGTGGACGCGAACCTTGACTTCAAAACCCTCCTTTCGCTTTTTTATATAGACTTTTGGTCTTTACGTTTCTTGTTTAAGGCCCCCTCTTTCTCTCTTCTCTCTCTCTAGTTATCTGAAGCCAATTGGAGTCACACTGGTAGGGTTTTTCTGATTCTTGATTCTGCCATTCTCCTCTCCGATCTCACACTTCGCCTGCACTTCTCTTGTGCGAATTGAATCATCGATTGACGTTGGTTGCTTTGTTTTTTTGATTGATTAATGAGTAATTAGTTCATTTTGATTGTTTTCTGCTGGCATTGAAGTCGTAATCGGAGTTTCTCTCGCTGATGAAACTTTGGGTTATTGTCGGAGTATCTCTTCCATATGGCTGACATCAGACGTAACATTGCTGTTCAACCAATTCTAGGTAGCATTAGATGTCTATATATAAATATAATAATCCTTCTATCTATTTTGAGTTCATGTTCATTTGTCTATGCTTTCATTTCTGAATCTCTCTATATCTTCATCTGTATCTCTCTATATAATCGTCTCTCTATATAATCATTGAGTGAATTTCTCCATTGCACACATATTTTACTTATCCTGCCGGGATAAGTTTTAGATTCAATTGCATGGATGCATCTATATATTTGTTTTTGAATTTGGTTGGAACTAATATGGATATTAGTTACTAATATCTTAATTCATTATAATTCGGTTTAATGGGATTATAAAATTATCTTTTAGCCTTGTGGGGATGCCTCTTTCTATGATCAAAAATTTCAAATCAAGAGTGTCAACTTGTTTAGTACTCTCAATTAAGTGGACTTGATATTAAAAAAAAAAAAAAAAAAAATTAACTGTGTGAAGGCCTAGTAATCAAAACATTGCTGTTTACCGTTAAATATTATTTTTTATTCTTATTATACTTCATATCTTAAACTTGTAATTGGATTTTGTAGACCTTGAACAGATACAGCAAGAAGCACAACACCGCTGGCTCCGACCGTCTGAAATTTGTGAAATTCTTCGCAACAACCAAAAGTTTTGCTTGAGACCAGACCCACCTGTTAGGCCACCAGGTTATATGACTGAATCATTTTCTACATATGCTTAAGCTAAAGTCACATTATCATATATGTGTATGTAAAGTTGAATTTATTGGATAACAACATATATATTAAATGGTTGTCTTACCAGAGTATTTTTCTTTTCTTCTTTCTAACTTTTGTTGACTTGCTATCCTCTGTGAGTTCTATATTTCTTGTATATTTATGGTTGTCAAACACATTTTTCAATTTTTTGGAATTGGAATTATTGATGATTTTTTTTTTTTTGCGAACTTATGGAATTACTTCTTTTTCTATTTGTCTAAAGTTCCATGCTCCGGACATTCATATTTGCTCAACAACCATCATTGAGCTGTTTAAATTGCAGTTGCTACCCATATAATTATCCCCTGATGATGTATAAGTCGGATTTGTTATAAGTTGTTCTGGCATGCAAAGAAGGTATGAAAAGATGGTACCCCTTAGAATGCAGAATAAATTTTCGCATCTTTTTCTTACATTAGAAATTGATGATAGCATAGAAAATGAAAACAATACCTATAGATAAATATCCAATGGGTTTCTATGTGATGAAATCATAAGACACAAATGAGGGTGCTGTAACTAGCTGGTAACATGTGACAGATTTGCGATCGGGTCAACTAGATGGTCGGAATAGATCTCCTGATGTCTTTAGTCTTTACAATATGGCTTGCGTAAAGTTTGAACTATTTTGGACAAGTGAAATGAAGACATGATATATTGATAGTAAAAACTTTTCATTCTAGGAGACGCACAAAGTGATTTGGTGCAGGACAGGAGCGATAAGCTGCTGTCCGGTAGCTGTAACAATGTAAAACCATGAAAGAAAAGGATTTCTAGCAATAAACAAGCAGGAAAACAGAGAGATAAAACAATAGAATCGAAGTTGGAACCTAGATAGTTCTAGGGCAAAGAGACCCGACAGAGACTCTAAATCTGATTTTCTGGAATAAAAACTGCATACAAAGTCTCTTAATAGACTATTTATACTAGGGTTACAGCTGGCCTAGCATCCTAGCCTTTGATTACTTCAATAACTAATAAATCTTAAACCTCCAAAGTACTTCAAATGACTATTTAAAAAGACTTGGACTATAACTATCATCTACCAAATAACATAAAACATAAAAATCAAATAAGACATATAGAAAATAAGCAAATAACTAAAACCCTAAGATAACTAAAACCTAAGCCTAGTTGGCTAGTGGGCCCGATTAGTCTTGGAGAGCCTAGTAGATGCTTTAGCATCAAGTCCTCCCGGTTGGGAAAAACTCGATTCTGGCGAGAAAGCCTCCACAACTTTGGCATATATTTCTGGATTATTTTTTTTAGCTCTTCTTCAGCAATCCATGTACTGTTACTAGCAACCCAACCATTTCACTAGAAACCACCTATATTGATTGCCCCTCCTTGATTTGTACTTGAGTTATGCCTCTGTTGAAACTGGTTCACATCAAATCCTTCGAACTAATACAGATTAGACAGATCAGACACGTTGAAGATTGGGCGTATTTGAGGTCAGGTGGCAGCTCTATCATGTACGCATTTGAGCTAATTTTCTTCAGCACCTTTCATGGCCCAAACTTCTTTGACTTCAGTTTATGATAAGTACCTTTGGGAATCTGTCTCGCCTCAAATGCACCAAAACCATGTCACCCTCTTCAACATCTTTGACTTTTCGGTGTTGATTGGCTGCTGTTGAATAGTATTCATTACTAGCCTTTATTGCTGCCCTTACTTTTTCGTGCACTCTTTTGAGGTGATCTGCAAATGCCTCTCCATCATCACTCACTTTTACCTTTTGTCATAGTGGAACTAGATCCATAAGCAGCTTTAAAAGGTGTCTTCTTTGTAGATCTATTCACGGAATTATTGTATACAAATTCAGCTTGCTGAATAATTAAATACTATCATGGCCCCTATTCTTGCATGCGATGCATCACACTCAATACTGAATAGCTTCTCAAAATTTGATAGCGTGAGTTCCGGAGCTTCTGACTTCAATCTTTTTATTTGTTCAAAGGCACTTTGTGCTGATTTTTTTTTTTTTTTTTTGATAAGTAAAAATTAAATAAAAAGGCGTTCAAAACTGATAATGGAGCTGAAATTGCAAATGAACCTCCTGTAGCATGAAACAAATCCATGGAAACTGCGAACGTCACCTACAGATTGTGGTACTCGCCACTCCTTAATAGCTCTTACTTTCTCAGGATCAGCTTGCAAACCATCAGCTGAAACAATAAAGCCAAGAAACACAACTTTGTCGCACAAAAAAGAGCACTTTTCAAGTTTACATACAACTTTTCCTTACGGAGAACCTCCATGACTTGTCGTAAATGAACTAAATGATCTTTACTTGTATGATTATATATTAATATGTCATCAAAATAAACAATCACAAATGAGCCCAAGAAAGGTTTGAGTACCTCTGTCATAACACGCATAAATTTGCTAGGAGCATTGGATAGTCCGAATGGCATCACGAACCACTCGTAAAGTCCATTTGGAGTTTTAAAGGCCGTCTTCCATTCATCACCACTCATACGAATCTGATGATACCCGCTTCTCAAGTCTATTTTGTAGAACACCTTGGACCCCACTAACATATTAAGTGTATCCTTTAATCAAGGGATGGGAAACCGGTATTTTGGAAACCGGTATTTTACTGTAATTTGTTGATTGCACGACTGTCCACGCACATCCTCCATGATCCATCTTTTTTTTGGTGTTAGCAATGCTGGAACAACGCAAGAACTCTTGCTCTCTCACGCACAAAACACTTAACAATCAAGTCTTCCACTTGCCTTTGAATTTCAGCTCGTTGTGTGGGTGGCATTCTATAAGAAGGAAGGTTTGGTAAAGCTGCACCAGACACCAATACTCCTCATTGGTGGCAACCCTTGTGGTAAATCATCACCAACCAGCCCTTGGAACTCCATCAGTATATGCTGAATTTCACTTGGATACTCATCAAATTTTAAAGGCTGGTCCTCTTGTACTTTCTTAGCAACAAGTGCGTACATAAGTCCCATCTCATTGCTCTCAAGTTCAAACTTGCGGGCCGACAAAAACCCCATTAACTTTGGCAGCCTTGGGAGTGTCGGTGATTTCTTCTTTAGGTGGCTGCAAAGTCAACTTTTTCCCATCTTTATAAAACGAGTAGGTATTGGTTCTCGTACAATGGATTATGTCTTTGTCAAACAACCATGGCCTTCCTAATAAGATATGACAGGCATCCATACGAACAATATCACACCAAGCTTCATCATTAACCGTATTACCCATAGTAAATTTAACCAAACGCTGTGAAGTGACCGGCACCTTGTTCCTCTTTTGGAACCATGCAACCTTGTAGGGATTAGGATGCTCCTCAGTTTGTAACTTGAGTTTGTCTAATGCCTCCTGCGAAATAATGTTTTCACTACTTCCTCCATCAAGAACCGTGTTACACACCTTTCTACCACAAAGGACTCATGTCTGGAATATATTGTGTTGTCTCCGCTCTTCTTCCTCGAATTTGGGTGTTGTCATCACTCTTCTCAATAATTTCCTCTCCGTTGTCATACTCATCAAATACTGGTTCATGTAATTCTGTTTTTTCATCTTTAAACTCTGCTAAGTTCACCCTTCGTTGTGGACAAGTGTAAGATGTGTGCCCCTTCTCTCCACAAGTGAAACAATGAACTTGTGAAATGCTGCCACTCTTTGAATGGCTTACACCAGCACTGTTTTGTTGCTCAAATCTTACTATTTCCTTCCCCTTTTCACTCCTAGCAGCACCCCAAATGTTCCTACCTCCTGTTTGGCCGCTTGGGATAGACCCTGAGCACCTTGAACAGCAGCTGTACTACTCTGCCAAATAGCATCTGGGCGACCAGAAACAACTCTTCTGCCGCCACGACGCAACACTCTTTTTTCCATCATTAAGGCATATTGTCGAGCATCATCTAGGCTGAACAAACAGACCACTGAACAAACAGACCACCCCTATCTCATCTCTAATGGACTGATGCAAACCAGACCGATAACAAGATGTCAATTGTCGTATAACCCAACTCGAATTGAGAGATTATTAAACTCAAATGTATATTCTTCAACGGACATGTCTTTTTGCTTCAAACTATGAAACCTTTCATATAACTCCATTGAATAAGCAGGCAGAAACACGAATCGACCACTCTTCCAATCTGCCGTGATCCAGATTTTCTCTATTTCTAGCATCATCAAAGGGGGGCTCTCTTCTTCCTCAAAATATTCATCCTCAAGACTATCATCCGGTACGTCCAAGGGGCCGTGGTTGCCTTCCGGAATCTCCATACGGGGTTCCGCACGTTCCTGATGTTGAAGAGCTTGCACCGCTCTTGACAGATCTTCAATCATATGCCGCATCTCCGTCATCTTTGTTTGTTGGGCTTGGTTTCCTCTTCCACGACCTCTACCACGTCCAATCATGGTTTAGACCCAGGGTTTTTTCCGGCTCTGATACCAATTTGGTGCAGGACAGTAGTGATAAGCTGTTGTCCGGCAGCTGTAACAGTGTAAAATCACGAAAGAAAAGGATTTCCAGTAATAAACAAGCAGAACAAACAGAGAGATAAAGTACTAGAATCGAAGTTGGAACGCAGATAGGTGAGTTCTAGGGCTAAGAGACACGAGAGAAACTCTAAATCTGATCTTATGGAATAAAAACTACATACAAAGTCTCTTATTAGACTATTTATACGAGGGTTACAGCAGCCCTAGCATCCTAGCCCTTGAATACTTCAATGACTAATAAATCTGAACCCTCCGAAGTACTTAAAAACTCACATGACAGTCACATGACTATTTAAAAAGACTAGGACTGTAACTATTATCTATCAAATAACATAAAACATAAAATCAAATAAGACACATAGAAAATAAGAAAATAACTAAAGCCCTATGATAACTAGAACCCAAGCATAGTTGGCTAGTAGGCCCGATTAGTCTTGGAGAGCCTAGTAGATGCT